TCCTCCCCAAAAAATAATAATAATATTAATTTCGTCACTCAATCCACGTTTGGCTGTTTGTGGGATGTTCGCTGTGCGCAATCGGCTGCCGCGTTTCGCCCACAAAATATACGGTCTCTACGCTTCACAGCGTATCCTGTGAAGCTCTTTGAGACGTCTCAAAGTCATGATGAGGCGCTGTATCAAATGCAAAGGATTATTACTATTATGTTCCAAGTTCCCCCCCCCCCACTCAACAACAACAACCTGCATTTATATAGCGCCCGTCACATGGGGTAGCGTCCCCCAAACACTCACGCCAAGGCGGAAAGATCGAGGGAGAGTGTTCCAGAGTTTTGTGGGCGTAATGGCGGCTGAAAGCGCAGCCCGCGATGGTGGAACAGGAGAAGCCTGATGGGGGGGTGGGGGCAGTTTCCTTGGCATTCGTGGTGGTGGCAGCAGTTCCCCATTTACGAAGTGGCCTGAGCTAACTCCAGGCAGTCAGGCGGGAGGGTTTGACGTTTGGGTGGTCTGTGGCTCAAATCAATCCAGATGTTCAGCCATAAATACAGAGCAAGATTCCAACTCTTTTAATTTCCTTTAGGCTGCCGAACGCACTGAATCAACAAAGAGACTTGTCTGTAGCGACCACATTGAAACTGTTGGCAGGTGGTTCTTTTTACACACAGGTGCCTCGCTAATCCAGTCACTGATCCGTCCATCAGACTGCTTTCTCATATGGATAATCAGTTCAGAACCAGTTGTGTGTGTGTGTGTGTGTGTAATAAATATATATATGTATACATTTGTCTAGGTGTATGGATTCTGTCCTCAATTTTTGCTCTCATATTCTGTAAGATTTGGCCGCTGCTGTTTTACGAGCTGTCATTTCTGGGAGGAGTGGGGGGGAGGATGTTTTTCACATTTGAACCACTTCCCACCCCACCCCTCTTCTCACGCGCACACCCACTTTATTTAGTGTTCAAAGTAGAATGACATTGCTCAGGCTGATAGCCTTACAGTACCAGTTTATCTGGAGGGTCGGAAGCATAAATCCCACTATATATGGCCTGATATCAAATGCAATAATTATTTATTGTTAGTTAATTAATAATAATCCCTGCGTCTGATACAGCGCCTGATCATGTCGTTGAGAGGTCTCAAAGTGCTTCACAAGGATAGACAGTAAAGTGGAGTGACTGTATTTTGTGGGCAAAAGGCACGTCGCAAGGAAAAGATGGTTAAATAAGAAGGGGAAAGCCTCCAGTCTGGATTATGTCTGTGTTTAAGCTCCGAGACCCGACTCAGGCACGAAGGGCGCTATATAAGTGCAATTTGTTGTTGTCGTCGTCTCTAAATTCAAGCACACTCGCACAGCTCTTGTTACTTCAAGNAAAAAAGGGCGATTTTATTGAAGCGAAATGAAACTTAAATCCAGTGATAAATCAGGGAAAAAAAACAAAACATTCTGACAACAGAAACATAGCTGTGGTGTCCAGGGTTTCCAGGCACAGTCATTCCATTCAATCTCGAACAATATTTTAACTTTTATCTTACATTGCCGGCCAAACTGTCCAAACCAANTTTTTTTTACAATTAGTCCTGGAAGAAAGCGATTATTTGTTACAGCCGAAGCGAATAGCACGAAGCAGTAATTACACTTTTAAAATAAAATGGGCAGCGATTCAATGGCACACGAATAATATATGGCAAACATGTCATTATTATTTCTCTCAATGTTTATAGAATGTACATATATGCAATGAAAACCTTTACAAAAATGTCCTTCTCCGTACTTCTATTGACAATCGCGCTTTTTTTCGGCTGTTCTCTTCAAGCAAGGTCAACAATAAAGAGTTAAAAATGACTCAAAAAGGCATAATTATTTACTTCTCACTTTGAAGATAATCCTAGTTGGGATTGTACTTAAACAAGCCTGACTCCTGATAAGGATCGGATGGGAATTGGGGCTACACACCAATGCAGATCCCTTGTAGATAAAAGTTCACATAGAAACTATGGTTCTGTCTTAACCTTTGGTCATGGTAAATCGCAGGTAAAAAAAAATCAGTGAAGCAGATCAATAACACAAAGCCAACTGAGACCAGGGTCATCCGTGTAGCCTTTCCCTTACTTTATTGGTACGGTTCGTGTCTGAGATCATCTAGTTCAGATTGAATTCACCAAAGGCAACCTCTGCGTCTCCCACCCACCCCCATTCCTTTCCCGTACACACTGCCCCACCACAGAGATATACAGTAAAAGCCGCATAAGTCTGATCTGTACAAACTGTTTAATCGCCAAAGTCGTACATCTGCCAGAGTCTCTCTCAAGCGTTTGTATTTTATGCAAGTTTGACATAACTCATAGTTTGCAGCAGCCATATTAAATGTACGGTCCTCAACTGATCAGACTTGTGTGAGGTTTACTGTATCAGGCAAAGATGAACCTTCCACGTTATCTAACGATCTTTTGAGAGTCGGCTCCTGAACTAAAACACATCGGTGGCTGAATCGATTACAGTCCTAATCACAGCGCAGGAAAAACAATGGCGTCATAAGGAGCCGTTGGCATCAACTTTGGAATAATGGGCATCGAACAAACCTGTAGTAAAAGTGATCAAACTGCTCCGCGCTCTCCCTTGTATCTGGTTGGTAAACAAGGAGCTCTCCGGCCAGGTCAACGTTTGTTGGGTGTCAGATATTGTGACTGTGCAGACGGTCACACGGGGCAAAACAGAAGGGATAAACCCAATCCTCATCTGCCCCTAAGTGTGTATCGTACTACAAGGGGCTAACGAGAGGGTGAGCCCTCTTGTGAGGGTGAAGATTTTTTTCCAACACTGAAACACTTATTTTGTTTTCGACTCTACTTTGCTTTCCAGATCGCTGCCTGCAGCCCAAACTCACAGCTTAGATTGGAATAACGACACAGCCTTGTCCCTCTCGCAAGGAAAACAAATTAATCATATTCAAAAAAAAAAGCCCAGCTCGGCAGATAACAATTTTCTTTTAAAAGGGAGACCGAGAAGAGAACACACACATATACTCAATTATTAAATAGGATGGAACTTGCACTGACACTGAAAGTAGAAGTGTGTAACCTGACACCTTGTATTTAAGTGCTGCTGCTTTTATCCAAATAAGATACATCTGTACAGAAATATAAATGTCTGTCTGTATGTGGGCAGCTTCCAGCTCCCACTCTTAATAAATAAATTACTAAAGGATTCCGACAGTTAAAAGTCATAGGCTGGGAAGAGAGAGAAAGCTTGTTAGTTTTTGTTTAACAAAAGAGACAGCTTGCCTTTCAATGGACCCAATGAACCTGTAAGACTGGAACGAATATTACATTTTGGACAATAAATATACTTTATACGAAGGAGAGGGGATGGGGGGGTAATTAATACGTGCGTATTATTGGTGAAAAAATGTGCTGTTCAATATTAGCAAAGTACAGTTTTTGTCAGGAAACCCGTCACAGCATTTTGGACGTCAAAATAGCTTTCACATCGTTGAAATGAAACTTGTAGTAATAATAATAATCCTCGCATTTGTTACAGCGCCTTATCACGTCTTCGAGACGTATTAAAGCGCTTCACAGGATACACTGTAAAGTGAATTGACTGTATATTTTGTGGGCGAAACGTGGCAATCAATTGCGCACAGCAGCGTCCCCACAGACAGTCGTGGATCGAGTGACCAAATTATTTTTTTTGAAGGTATTATTATTCTCCTAGATGTTTAGGCCAAATGTTGTACTGATCTGAGTCCATGGAATAAACCGTGGAGACCTTCAGACACTCGGGCATTGGAAATCTCTTCCAAGAGCTGGAGTTCAGAGTCCATATATTTTCAAAGAGAATTTAATAGTGACGGGGAGGAGGAGGGAGGAATATAAAATAGGGATGGGAAGTGGGCAAGCAGTGAAGAAAATCACCAGCACAGATTCGATGGGACCAATGGTCCATTTCTGTGCGGCTTTATTTGGGTTTTTAAGACTTTCGAAATGTATTCGAAACGTGTGTGTTACAGGAGGATAAACTGTGTAGTTGAACGGGCTGTTTGCTCTCTGTAAAGACTGAGCTGCCGTGAGGCAACTTTGTGAATGCAAAGCGAGTGAAAGAGACTTAATAGGGACATCTCCATACTCCCCATTGGCTCATTGTGACTTGTACCTCAATGAACACCCAAACTATAATGCTGAACCTGGTGGGACATAATGCTCTTATAATGACAATGACATCAATATTCTCTGTGTGTGTATATATATATATATATTATAATACATCTATCTGGGAGTTTTTTGCCACAGCTAACAAATGCTCTCGCTTTGTGCTGGGCGTTTTACTGAGAACCTGAAAAATTCACCTCCACTTCTCGCTCGTCAGAAATTGTGCTAAGAAAAGAAAGGAACAAAAAACGCGCCACTTTTTTCTGTCAGTGTGCACGTTCATTTTGAAACCGCAACGAACGGCTTGAATAAAGCAAAACTTCCCGCCAACGGTGGGGGAATCGTTTCAGAGCAGATTCGTGAAGCTTTCAGATTTTCACTTTGAGCCTCCAAATAATCCCATGGAGGAGAGAGAGGTCCCTATTGCAAAGACTGACTCATAGAGCAAAATAGCCACGTAATTGACAGTATTCGCTTGTATATCATTTACACAACTTGAGAGCTTTAGCACCTGAATATGTGCTATTGTACACCTCAGTGAACTGCAAAAGTACAGCAAAACAGGAGAAATGTCCAAGATATATATGATCGACCGAAACTTTTAAAAGGAATGAACGTCTGTAAACAGGGTTATTTGGTCTGTTCAATAAGCAAAATTGCCTGAGGGACCCAAATCTGCACTTCCATTTTCTTGAAACCGATATAAACCAGAAGTTTTTTTTAATTTATATATATATATACAAAATGTTTTAAAACGAACTGCAGTACTTCGCTACGGAGTTTAATATCAACAGAGATTAATTCCCACAAAAGCTACATTATTATTGTTATTATTTGAAAAGTTTGGTCGATTTTTTTTAAAAAAAAAGTCATTAAATTAAATCACTGGTAATTTCAGTGTAAGCTTCACAACAGACAGCAAGCACTGTTCCTGGTAATACACAATACATGTGTCTCAGCCATGCAAAGGCCTGTATGGGGATAAGAGACTGGCTCCACTAATTTGCTATTAAATTGTGACTCAATATATCCATTAAAGAGATCACACTTACTCTATTATTCTCCTAGGAGTGTCTGACTCAGTGCATTTTTTTTTCTTGTAGTCCAAAGTGAGTGAAATGATCAATCTGGGATCGAATGTTGCTCTCACTGCTCGCTTCCTCTCAATCAGCCTTCCGTCCCGAGGGGAAAATGGGAAGGAACATTCCGCTAGTTATAAATGTAACGTGGACATAAAATTATCCGCATCTCGCTGATCCAGGATTACCCCTCCCTCCCCTTCCCATCGCCTAGAAACATTGAGAACTGTTTTTGTTTACAGACCTCTACCATAAACTACCTTTCCCATTAACAACCCACACAGTTTGCCGTCAGAGTTGCCATAAAACTTAAATCGGCACTACGTTCCTCATTGCACAGGTGCTCCCTGGAAACCTTTGTTGTGTTCTTTAATTATGCCAAATAATAATAATAATCCTTCCATGTCTCAAAGCCCTTCTGAGTTGACTGTGTATTTTGTGGGTGAAACGCAGCAGAAATTGCGCACAGCAGCGTCCCCACAAACAGTTGTGGATTCAGCGACCAAATTATTATTATTCGTTTAAATTTTTTTTAAAAAAAATTCTCCCCTCGGCGGAAAAGTGATCCACTAACAACCTGATTTCTACTTACTGCCAGGCAAACAGAAGCGTGTGGAGTAAAAAAAAAACTTCCCTACGGTTTCGCCCTATTAAATTTTAATTACTATTAAAGTACAGGGTTTCCGACATGTGCAGGAAGTTTTCAATGTGTTCCTTGGCTGTGGTATAGACACTGGATTGAAGTACGCAGGCTTTCATTGACCTCAAACGGTAATAATGCGTTGATAAAGTTGGCCTTTGCCTCATTGAAGAGATGCAAAGGAAATAATATTAAAAAAAACACATTGATTTAACAAGCTCCCGAACAGACACTACATGGTCCTTAGGTTCCGTGTTTAGGTTTTGTGGAGTGAAGCTTATGTGAACTTTTCAAAAGATGCCAAGGATTATTCTGCTTTATTCTAAAGGCGAGAACCGAGGTGGTGGGTCGACGAGAATTTGGATTTTCTGGCCCTTTGCCACGAATGCTATTGACGGAGACGCTATAATGTCTCTTCTGTTTCACAGCCAAATGTGTTGTCCCTTTTAATGCAGTTTCAAAACGGTCCGTGCTGAAACACTCCACGATGTGGGTCCCAGCATGGTACAAAATCAACCGCAAACATTTGGTTAACAAATAATATTTGCGGTGAGGGGGCTGAGGGTAGTGAGGGTGAGGGAGGGTGAGGGGGGTGAGGGTGTGGCGGGCAGGATGTTAATTCTACCCAAACCCACGTCAACCCATTTTGTTCTTCGTGAAAACCATCACCAATTGGTCAGACGTGGGTTTAACCTGGTGAAGTCTTTTGGCCGACAACAGGCAGAAGAGAATATTTTACATCGGGGGTGGGGAGGGGAGGGTGGGGGATGGTGGGCAGTCATTTCAGGGTCTGTACAACGAGCATCATTTTAGCCCCAAAAACAAGACATCTGTACACGGACATAATATTTTTTTTTGGTGGGGGAAATGCAATTTCAGTCCACGATTCTCTCAGGGGGTGGGGAGGTGGTGGGGTGGGAGGGAGGGAGGGAAGGGGGTGGGTGGGCGAGTTGCTCTTCATGCACCTTCGGTTGTTTAATACGGTCTCCATACTGACTCGTCGAGCCGTCCTGTGGTGGTCAGTGTGGGCGAGTTGCTTTGGCTGCCGTTGGGGTCCACGCCATCGTTCTGGTTGGCGAGGTTGGGATTCATGAGCGAGCTCCCGCTGGAGGCACTGGTGCAGGACGGCAGCATCCTGGTGGGCGAGCGTTCCCCGGCCACCATGGAGAACTGGTAGGATCCAGCCGAGGTGCCGTAGTACAGGTGATAGGGTGAAGCCCCGGCCTGGAAGGTCCCACCTTGGTTCTGGGCGGAGCCGGGGTAAGGGGGCGGCAGGTAAGTGTGGTAGCGAGCCGTGGACGCCATGCTGCTCATGCTGATGCCCCCGATGCCCGTCGTGGGGGGGGTGGCGGAGTAGGTAAAGGCCGCCGGCATTGTGCCCGGATAGTGCACCCGAGGGTCGGCGAATCGGGAGTCCGCCAGCGAAGACAATCCTGGGAACTGCCGCTCAAATTGGCGAGGGTCTGAGAACGGGCTGAGGTCTGAGCTCCCTGTGGGGAGGGGGGGGAGAAAAGCAAAGATATCGATCGATAAGTAAAGTCACTGTACACAACAATAACCACAACAAGTTGTATTTATATATATATATATATAGAATCCTCCACTCGGGGTTTATCCTCCCGCAATGCTTCAATACAATACTATGTGACATTTACCCAGCGCCTCTCACGTCTGGACAGTCAGGGATTTGGACCCGAGTTGGGGATTGGGATTGGGAGGGGGGTAGAGGGCCAGGGAGGGTGGGGGTAGGGTTAGGGGAGAAGGTTGAAGGGCAGCACATCCGTATTTACATGGATTGTGAAGTGGAATTGAGTGTGTGTGTGTTTTGGGGGCGAAATTTTGACAACTCTTGAGTGTCACTGGTCCACGAGATCCAACAGTTCACTGAAACCAACATTGCCTTAAAGACGTGTTGTTGATGAGGGGAGGATTGGGTTGGGTGGGGGGTGGGGATTGGGTCAGGGAGGGGGATTTTACGGGAGTTGTGAAGGTTGCTCGAGCTTCTTCTGTAACAAGCTGGGCTTGCCTTCAGCGCAGTGGCATTTGGAAATGATTGCAGGACCAGCCGCGTGTGGTTCTATAAAGATAAACACACTGGTATTATATTCTAACCCCGCTGCTGAATACCAGCCTTGTGAGGCCAGCACTTCACATAAACATTCGCAAACCGTTTCCCTTTCGAGCAGTGCTACTGGTCATCGCAGAGCTGCTGAAACCCAAACAGGAAAGCCCTCGGCCAAAAACGCTGTGTCACAAGACTGAGTGAGGCTGCTCTTCTGTGAGTCTCTTTCTCTCTCTCCCTTCCCTACAGGGACTAACTTACACAACAACAAAAACAGAGCTGTCGTTCTGCTGGGTGCCAACCTAGCATTGCTTCAGAACCATTCCCCAACATTTAATAATATTATTAAAAGTAATGATAATAATCCTCGCATTTGACACAGCGCCTTATCGCGCCTTCGAGACGTCTCAAAGCGCTTCACACAAATACGCCGTACTGCAAATTGACCGTATAGTTTGTGAGCGAAATGGTGGAGTTGTGGGTGGGGGGGGCAGAGAGGATGAAGCCCCGATCGTCGATAGGGAGGGGACGGTGGAATCCAGTCATTCCATAATCAGCCGTTTGCTAACTCAGCTGTAAGTAAGCAAACTGGGAGACCACAGACACTAACAGGAAATACGGATCCCGAGACAGGAACACGTGAGGAGCACATGGTGAGCTGGCAAAGCTGCTCGGAGTTTCTGAAACCCGGTGGTCTCCTGTCTTGAGCCGGGAGATAACTTGGTGGAAACAGAACTGTCTGTTCCTCTTATGTCAACGGTGCCGTTTGATTTCAACGCTTCGTTTCTGATGAAAATAGATCCCAGGGTAAACATTCCCCTCACCACCGCTGCAGCACTAAAGCGAGACTGTTTAAAATTCAGCACACACAAGAAAAACATCCCTCTCCTCCAGTTTAACCTATGACACAGGGGTGGAATTATTCTAAAGTTAAAACCAATGCAGTTATTAATAATAATAATAATAATAATCATAATAATCTTTGCATCCAAACCCCTAACTGTCCAGTGCCTTGGGACGTCCGCCTCACGTGAAAGGCGCGGTGTAAATGTAATTTGTTGTGGTTGTTGCGCTTGATTATAGCGACTTAAATCGAGTCATTAAGACATATTATTATTATTATTATTATCGCAAAGTGTACCGTATTGTAATGGGGAAGCGACTGCATAACAATTAATTAAGTATTAACTGTGTAACAGTTGATATAACAGTTTTCAGGCGAAATTGCGTTAATTGGATCACACTCAAATGAGCTAAATTGTCAGCCACAGTCACAAGTTCCCCACACACACACACAGTGGGTTTTGTTGACACTGTGGTAGCTGTGATTCAACCGAATTTGGTCAGAAGCCCATTTTGTCTCGGATAAAAGTGATCGACTGGGCACCACTTAGGGTTTGCCACGAAAATAAATGGCTCAAACCCTGGTTCATGTCAGAGTCTCGGGAACAGGTCTGGGAGAGGGGAGTTTACGTTAATCCAGAACCACCTCATTTAGTTCCCCCCCCCAAAAAAAAAGCTTTGAACGCATTTTTTCCTCCTGTCCCTTTTTCCCCACCCACCCCACATCAGCCTCCTGTGTCCACACTGACTTTCTTCCTTAGTGGGAAAGGCAGGAAAACTGCAGGTGACCATCGTCAGTAACAATAATCCTTGCATTTGATATAGCGCCGTATCACATCATCACAACTTCTCCCACCCAGGGTAACGGTTAATCAGCCATGATCTCATAGAGAATGGCAGGACAGGCTCGAGGGTCTGAATGGCCTACGTCTGTTCCTATGTTCCGAGGTTTATGAAGCACTTCGCAGGGATACACTGTAAAGTGTAGTGACCGTGCATTTTGCTGGCGAGACCCGCTGCTGAGCTGTTGCTCGGAGGCGTATGATCTGTGAGGTTACTTTACACTCACAAGACTTGCAGTTTGATGTCGCGCCTATAATGTCGAAAGCCTGAGAGAGGTGCTTGGCAGGGATTTTCCCCGTCAAGTGTAGTGACGCAGGCTAAACGAACAGCTCCCCAAAAAAACAGCAATCATTTCGCCGCCACGTTGGTCAACGGGACCAAGATAAATTGGGTGTCGGTGTGTTCTCAAAACACGAGCTACAGTTTAGATTGATTTATTCAGCCAGAATGAGTGGGAGTTAATAATTAGTGAGAAGTGAACCATGTTACAGTGCTATGTGATCTTGGGCCTGCTTTGTCATTTCATTTTGTGTACAGGCGTTTGTAAACACCCAGCACGGGCGGTGGTTTCACTGGTTACTCCGCGTGTCTCCCGCGAGTTGTTATGTGGGTTGCCTCTATAGAGCCGGGAGCAGGTTGCTCTCACCTCCAGCCTCGCACTCGCTCACTGCAACATCTGTTTGCAGCATTTTAATCCTGTCCCCTCTCTGTCTCTGTCACTGCGTGCCACTTAATGGAGTCCCGGAGCGCAGTAGTTAAGAGCGCTCGCCTCGCAAGCGAGAGGACCCGGGATCGATTCCCGAACAGGGAGAAAGGATGGGCAAGTTTCCTTGCTCCACACGCCTCTGTGTAACCTAGCAGTAAGTAGGAACCCGGCTGTTAGTTGATTGGCCGATCGCTTTCTCGGGGTAATAATCCCATCCAAAAATAGTAATAATTTGGTCATTCAACCCACGACTGTTCCACCACTCCCACTCTCTGCAGTCTCTTGTCAGTCTACCCACACCTCCGCTTTCACTAGGAGGGAGTGTCTGTCCAGGCAACAGACACCTATGTAACTGCCAACAACTCTTCCTATATTCAGCTGTGGACGAGGAGGTGTGTGCATACTATAGGTGAGACAGAGACAGGTATCGTCCACAGTTCTTATTCTGAGCAATTGCCCAAAGCAACGTATGTGGGCAGACACCAGATTTGCCTCCAGCACGCCCTGCCCTGTCTGTGATTTTTGTTGGCAGCATTTCACTTCACTTCACTTTAGGATTGTTAGTCGATCAGTGAATCGCTTTTCTGCAGTAATAATTCCCTCCAAAAAAATGTGTGGTAAGTCAATCCACGACTGTTTGTGTGGGACATTAGTGTGAGCAATTAATTGCCCCCGCATTTCGCCCACACAAAGTACAAGGTCAATCCAGTTATTTAAATCGTTCCACTCGATTTCTATAAGACCCGAATTATCATCAAATACCCTCAAACTGCCTGATGCGATCTCTTACGAGTTATAATTGACCAGGTGAATCTTCGTAACTTTCTCGTTAGTGATAAATTACACATATTATTTTTTTCTCTCTTAGTTTGCCTTGTTTTGATGAGGTGGGAGAGATTACTTTCTTTTCACAATCTCCTCTGCTACGCTCAGCAGAATCAACGTGTTGTGTTTGAAACGTTCTGACCTCCAGCACCTATTCGAATTGTTTTGACTGGAAAAGCACAGTGTAATTAAGTAAGAATGTGTGTGAGGGAGTGTGCCATTACTGCATTAGGAACCCATCAACACGATCAGGGCATGAAGAGTCAGGCAAGTGTCCCATTAAATAACAAGCTGCATTCGCCCGAAAAATACAGTCATTACGCTTTACACTGCAGCCCGTGAAGCTCTTTGAGGCACCATCCACCCAAAGGATGAGTCCTGTATTGTAGTGGTTAGCGCTCTCGCCCGAGCAGGATGAAACCCATAGCACGTTTCCTTACTCTACACGCCCACTGTTTAACCAGCAATAAGTAGGAACCCGGTTCTTAGTTGATTGGCGGATCGTTTGTGAGGGGGTAATAATCCCTCCAGAAAAATAATTTGCTCACTCAACCCACGGCTGTTTGTGGGACACCTCTGTACACAATTGGCTGCCGAGTTACACCCCCAAAATACACAGTCAGCACTGCATTGGAGCGTCACACTAGACTGTACGAGTTCAAAGTCCCTGCCTGAGGCATGAAGCCACAACCTCCTGCCACGAGATTGCTACCAAACTGAGCCGGTGCGGGAATGATTTGACTGACACGATCTTTGTGTGAGAGCGTGTTGGGGGCTGCGTTGCTCTAACGACTGAAGGAGAAACCTGAGCAGCAGTGGGTCAGGAGCAGTCACTGGGCGGGTGAAGGGGGAGTGAGTGGGGGTTTGGTGGGGGGGGTCTAATGGTGATCTACATCTCAAGTGGACGTGAGGATATTGAGAGTCGCTTCCTCAAGCCACTCACCCGGCATCTGAGTCTGGGCGGAGGAGCTGAAGTGAGATGGTGCATTCAGCTGTGGTCGAGGGCTTGGAGTTGATGGACCAACCCTCATGGCTGTCTGACGGTATCGTTCCAACTCGCTCAGACGGTCAGAGAACAGTGTGTTGGGCTTTGCTTGGTCTTCAAGCTTCTGTCTGTGCCCTGCAATAAGAGATAATGTTATATTAAAAATGCGGCTTGGTCATTTGTTTCTATAACATTTCTCTGATTCTCTTACCTCTCCCCGCCTCCCTCCACCCCTCACCCCCCCACCCCCACCTGATCCCCCACTCACGTTGTTGGTTGCTTCTTTGGAGTCGGGGGAATTGGTGGGGGGGGGGGAAGGGTGTGGGTACAAAGCCGTTATATTTTGGATGGGGGGGGTGGGGAGTGCGGGTAAGGAACGAAGAAAATGTTTGATCGATTCTATGCTTCGACCCACGTGGCAGAAGATATGTCCCAGAGGCAGTCATGTGGTTGGGCCAAATTTACAGCCAACTTTCCAGTGTATCGTCCTCTCCTCAGATTGTTTTGACAATCACAACAACAACAACTTGCATTTGAGGAACCTTACAGCATGCTGGTCCAGTTAAGTAAGGAATGAATGATGAGTCTGGCTGTCAAACTCACATAATCATAATATTTAATAATAATAATCATCCTTGCATTTGACATAGCGCCTTGTCACGTTGTTGAGACGTCTCGAAACACATCGCAGAATAAAGTGTAGTGACTGTATTTTTTGGGGCAAATGCGGCAGCCAATTGCGCACAACAGTCGAAGATTGAATGACCATTATATATTTATTTATTAATTTATTTATTGAAGGGATTATTACCCCTGGAGAGCAATCCGCCAATTGAATAACAACTGGATTCTTACTTATTGCTAGAGACATGTGTGTGGAGCAAGGAAACTTGCCTAAGGTTTCGCCCTGACCTGCCCGGGAATCGAACCCGGGTCCTCTCGCTCGTTAGTGCTCTAACCAATACCCTAATAATCCTTCTGCACCCAGCTGGCAACAACCCTCTCAGTTTCAGACGATTTGATCTTTCCTCCACCCTCTCCCACATCCCCGCTGGAAATAAGTACCACAAAGCTAGGTGTTATATTTACAGTGTGCGGTGCCCAGCTTGAAACAAGCGTTAAAATCTCAGCGCTAACTGACTCTAACCCCAAACTCAATCTACTGCCCCGACTAATCATTAACTACTCAAAGGGAAAAAGCGATTGCATTTAAAATTGCGCTTGATGAATTCAATTAGCATAACTTAGATTTAAAGCATCTTAATTGCCCCGCACCGGGTATTTTAAATGCCATTTTGTTCCTGCGTTCAGGGATTTGTACGCCAATAGGGGTTAAAACCGATGAAAAGCAATTACATTTAGAGCGACGTCACGCTGTGAATTAAACATTTATTTGGCCCCCTCCAGCTTTCCGCTGAGCTGGAAACCTGCCCTTCAATCCCACTGTAGCGAGTGTCCCCTTTCTACAGATGTTGAGTTAAAACATCTTCTAAACCAGATGTTGAGCAAGTTGCGCCTGAAGACTCCCCCCCCCCCCCACCCCCCCGGCTCAGCGTCGAGCTCCGCCACTGTCGAACGCTCTGGGGTACAAGTTGTTGCTGTAAAAAAAAACACTTCAACCACTGCGTTGCTATGTGGTTCACGTAATATCGACATCACTCCGACGACCTGTTTAACCTAAGTAAGTGAGGACTTGGTTCGTGTGTGTGTGGGGGGGGGGGGGGGTGCAAGAGACAGAATACCAACCCCACCCTGACCAATTTGTGCATTCCCCCCCTCCACATCCTGTTTTAAGACTCGTCAACTACCTTCTACCCTTCCCCAACACCCCTCCCAAACCCACCCTCATTAATTGCCAATTGAAGCATATTTTAAATAGTACGTCGATAAACATCTCGTGTGGATTCAAAGGGTGGGGGCGGGTAGAGGGGGGGAGAGATAAAGGTATTTCCGAGTTGCAAGAGACAATAAAGCCACAAAGCTAGTCATATGGCCAAAAGCCGGCAGCGTTCAATTTCCTGAACGGAGTCTCTGGGTTTAATTTACCTTCTTTCTCCATCTGCAAACCCCCCTGTGCTCCACCCCGCCCCCCGCCCCCCCATCTCTGTAAACTCTGCTGGCCACATTTTTTAAATGTATTAACTGGGTTTCATTCTCCACCACCGAGTCAGTGACTGTTTGTCGTAGAGGTTCTCTCGTTTCTTGAATTTACAGTGAGTCGAGAGAGGCACCAAATGACTATCATTATTTATTTATTTATTTATTTGTCTATTTTGAAGGGATTAGCGGAAAAGCGATCCGCCAATCGGCTTGACAACCGGGTTCCTGCTAACTGCTGGGTAAAGAGAGGCGTCTGCGTGTGAGTGTGTGTCTGTGTGTGTGGAGTAAGGAAACTCCCAATGTTTCACCTTGACCTGACCCGCCCGGGAATCGAACCCGGGTCCTCTCGCTCGCTCGCTCGCTCTAACCACTGCGCTGCTGCGGGGACACTCCGCCGTGTTGGCAGCTGATCGCTGACCCAGCAGTGGGCTCCTAACTGAAGGGGCGACGTGCTGTGGCTTTGACCAGGATTCGAACCCACCAGTGCTCGCTGGGCAAAGCCGGGCTTAGTCCACTTCGCTGCTTGGGCTGCGGAAGCTGGTCAGAGGCACAGCACCAGGCCAAAGAACTGTGCCCCCTGCTGGCTGATCATCTGCACTGCATGGCACAGATGTTGACTTGAGAGAGGATGCCACACACACACAAAAATATAATATATATATAATATATATAATATATAATATATATATATATATGCTCCAAGATCAGGGAGGTCTTTAGCAGTCGGTGGCCTAAACAGGAGATAGCAGCGTGAGGGAGTTCAGAAAGGAAGGAGGGGATGCAAAGAGAGGGTTAATAAACCCTTCCGAATACGAGATTTAAAAAAAAAATTACTAATGATAATTCGGCCACTCAATCCACGGCTGTTTGTGGGACCCGGCTGTGCGATATTGGCTCCCGCGTTCGGCCCCCCGCCCCCCGAAAAAAAAACATACGGTCAATTCACTTGACAGCGTGTCCCGTGAAGCGCCTTTTCAGGCGCCTCGAAAGACGTGATAAGGAGCTGGGTCAAAAAAATGCAAGGATTATTATTTCATTTGACCGTCTCAGAAGATAGGCATGGACTTTACTGAAGCGTTCGATGTCCGAGCGTGGGCCCTGACCCCCGCCCCCCCCCCACCCCATCACAATGGGGGGGTGGAAGTGGGGGTGTAGGATGGAGCTGCCCACTTCCGGTCTATACGATCCACAATAAAGGGATGATCGGTTCTGACACCTGCCCCCAATACCACGGCTGCACTTTCCTTACAGCGGCTGCTGAGGTTACCCTATGTGAACAGTGGTGGTGGTTTAATATTATTAGTCATCTGTCAGAAACAAAGTTGTGTGTGTTTCAGTCCACGCCTGCGTGTGGGACACTCACTGCTGTGCGCAATTGGCTGCCGCGTTTTGCCCACAAAACATAACAGTCCGTTCCCTTGACAGAGTAGCCTGTGAAGCGCTTTGAGACGCCTCGAAGCCGTGATAAGGCGCTGTATCAAAGGCCAGGCTTTAATTATTATAATTATTATTATTTTTTCAAATTGCGACCCGGCCCTGGACAGTTGCTCACTCTCAACCTGACGTCTTGTCAGGTTACCTCCCTCCTGATCACGCTGCTGTCTTTCATTTGCAGTCCGGTTCAAAAAACGAAAACCCTCGGTTTCGTTGGGAAAACAAACAGGAGCGAGACACAGACGCACCGTCTCAAAGAGTTAAATGCGAAAATCTACTAGACACTCGGCACAAGCAGCCAGAGAAATATTTGGAGGGAACAGAGTCTTCTTGGGGCTCAGCGAGGCAGTCACAGATAGATTATTATTCACATGTTTGAAGTTGGCTTGACTTGTGCCGTTTGGAAAAGGATCCAGTTACACCGAGTCTTTGCCTTGGCTGAGTTCTCGGCTGTTCAAACACTGCAGCTTCTGTCTGTTCCCCGGAACCGTCCAAATGTCAACGTTTTTTTTAAAAAAATCGACTTGCCCCAAAGCCAGAGTCTCTCGCTTCTGTCTGAGATTTCCCCCGCGCACCAACATAGGATAAGAACTAATTCCAACGCTCCCAATAATTCATATTGCTTCAGGTTAGATTACATTTGTGATGAATTGGCTGCCTTTTAAAGGCGCAAAGAAAATATCCATTTAAAGGGAAATAGGCTGGCTGCCATCCAATTGGCAGAGGGGGGAGTTGTCAGCCGTTGGAAGTCTGAAAGATTTGGCTTGGCTTTAGTCAGAACAGTGGGAGAAATGTTCATTAAAGGCCTGATGTTGATTATGTGGAGGTAAAGTTTCCATACCTATCGCAGAAAGCACAAGCCAATCGGAAGCCCGATGGTTTTATAGCACGTCAGTTACATTCTCTGCTGATGGAAGTAAGTGTGTGTGTGTATGTGTGTCGGTGTGTGTGTCAGCCAGCCAGCTGAGCTATTTATAACTTGCCTGTAACAGTCTCCCCTCCCTTTCAAGTGTAGGGCGCACAGGCTGAGCACCTAAAGTAGTCCAGCAGCTAAAGTAATTGACTGTACCTTTTTCGCCCACAAAATACGCAGTCAATTCACTTCATAGTGTATTCTGTGAAGCGCTTTGAGACGTCTCGAAGACGTGATAAGACGCTGTGTCAAATGCAAAGATTATTATTATTGTTATTAGTCACACTCACTCACTGTGAGCGTGAAGAGCATGCACCAAGCAGCTGAACCATTCCTAACCTTATCCATTCGGGCCTTTAAACTCATCTATTTTGCCCTTTCTCACTGTGAGCACATGCTGCACAGCTGAACTGTTTATAAGACATCCTGTCTCTCTCTCTCTCACGCAAAGGAATAACTGTACAGTCTATCTCACTGCAGTGTAACAGAGATAAGAAGCTGAGTGATGATCAGCGACTGTTCCATATCAACTTCAAAGTGATCAATAGGCCGTGGGCAGCCCTTATTGATATGACATCCAACCCAACATCGACTTAGTTGAGAATCCGCTGTACTGTTTGCCTACAAATAAATACTAATAAGCCTTGCATTTCATACAGCGCCTCATCACATTGTTGAGACGCCTCAA